GGAGGGGGTGTGTGTTGGATATGTATTGAAATCATAAGGGGTGTGCAGCTTTTAAAACAGATTATGTTGTTCAAGAGCCTGGAGGTGAGTTATGGGCAGAGGCTTAGCCAAAAAGGGGGCCTACACAAATCACGGCTCTGGATAGGGGTTGTCCGCAAAGGGCTTCCGCACAAAAACTTACCTTTTGCACCCCTCCACCCGGAGAGGGGGTTGCTTATGTCCGCCGGCATTTTTACTAATGACTGTGTAATGCAAATGTACATATAATTCAATGATATTCAATTATTGTTAAAAGACTTTTAAAAATCACTGCAGTGTTTCGTATAGATCATCATACTGTTGTTTTGTGTTGACAATCGCTTGATAACACAATGACAATGCCTCGGACAACTTTAACTTCACGTCTTCATGATCAATGTATGTGATTCTCTTCCTGTAATGTATTTGTGGCTTACCTTACAGCTCTAAGTGCTATACAATTATTAAATTTGACAACTTGTAATTGATTTTAGTTACAAGCAAGTTAGAAAGAGTTAGAAGACCCTCTCCCCAGACCCCTCCCCACTGTAAATACCAAAATCAGAAACAAATAAATTATCTGGGGAGGGGTGACCCCCTCCCCAATGTAAAATAAATATTAAATAAGCCAACAGTTGATCCATAAACCTAACCCAACAAAGCCTAAGGCTAAGGCCACAAGTAAGCAGCCGTAAAAACACATGGAATTTGAAAATGAACAAAAAACCAAAAAAAATGGCAAAAAAGAAGCCAAAAATAATTCTAAAACCAAGAAATAATTAAAACCCAACTTACAGTTTCATGAAATACACTTTTACACACTTTATTACAGGTTCCAAATAAAAAATTACGCACAAATAATAGGAGCACAACTGCCGGCATTAGGCCAACATGTTGAAAAGATGGTGTCTCAAATAAAATAGGCAGTGTCTACATGTCCGGCGCGCCAGACATATATCTCCCGCACTATTTGTCCGGCGACCAAGTCACATGACCGCCGTAACAAAGTGGCGAGAGATATCTTGTCGTTCAGCCTTGTCACGTGACTGCGAATGGGTCAAAACTATTGTTAATTTTAAAATCTATTTCTCTACCAAGTAATGTACTTGGTATCTTGAATGCAAATAATAGAAAAAAACTTAAGTGAAAGTGGCTTGT